GATGCTTTGAAGCAACAAGGCTTCATTAAAGCTCATTCAGATTCTTCTTTGTTTATCAGATCTGCTGGCTCTTCCTTCATTGTTCTTATTATCTTTGTTGATGATGTGATATTAGCTAGTAACAACATGGAAGAAATACAATCTGTCAAAGGTTTTCTACATAATCAGTTTAAAATAAAAGACTTGGGGGAGCTCAAATTCTTCTTAGATCTTGAAGCTGCAAGATCTAAGGAAGGAATTAATATTTGTTAACGTAAATATACTTTGGATTTACTTCAGGATAATGGTTTTTTGAACGGTAAACCCACTCCAACTCCTATGGTTCCTTCTGTAAAGTTGGTAAAAGATGATGGCTCACCTAGAGTTGATTCAACTGCATATCGGCAACTTGTGGGTAAGCTTTTGTATCTTGCCACTACACAGCCAGACATATGCTTTGCTGTTCAACAGCTTTCTCAATTTCTTGAAGCTCCTACTCAGGCACATTTACAGGCTGCTCATCGGATCTTGAGATACTTAAAAGATACGTCTGGACAAGGTTTGTTTTATCCTGCTAATTCTTTGAAATTGAAAGGTTTTAGTGATTCTGATTGTGGCATTTGTCCTGATTCACGGAAATCTGTCACCAGCTTTTGTGTCTTTCTTGAAAATACTCTTATTTCTTGGAAAATAAAAAGACAATCAACTATATCTCGGTCTTCCTCTGAAGCGGAATACAAGGCTCTTGCTGCCATCAGTTGTGAGCTACAATGGCTCCGTTTTTTGCTTGTTGATCTGCTTGTGAATCTTTATCCAGCTGTAGTTTTTTGCGATAATCTATCAGTAATAAAAATTGTTGAAAATCCAGTTTTTCATGAGCGGACGAAGTATATAGAAATTGATTGTCATCTCATTCGACAGAAAGTTGCGGAATGTATCATTTGGTTGCTCTTTGTTTCTTCCTCCCATCAGCTGGCTGACTGTTTCACCAAGCCACTTTCCATTTCAAAGTTTACAGCACTTGTATCCAAGCTTAATATACAGAATTTGTATACTCCAGCTTGAAAGATGGTACGTGCCTAATATTTCTAAAACTTCATGGTTTATGTACTTTATTTATGAATGCACTACATTCGGTTGTCGATTCTATTGAAAGCCAAATTCGATATGATTCATATTATATTCCAATTCTATAATATGATCAAAATCCAATTTGGAATTGGTATAAAAAGATTTTACATGGACGATACGAGAGATTTTTTCTAACCACAC